TTGTGTGTTACAAAAAAAAAAAAATAAAGGAGGAAAAAATTACAATATAAATAACGTCTCTTTAAAAAAAAAGGTAAAGGTAACAAAAAGAGAAAAATAAACAAACCCCACAAAATGAATCAGTAGTCATTCTTGTAGCCGGCGGAGATGTAGAAAATTTTCGTGCTACAAGGAGGCCAAATGGGGTGCCCACGCACCCCACAATATGCCAGTATCACCAGTTAAAAATCCCAGTTCTGTACTGGGAAGGGAGCAGGGAGGAAAATATCGATCGATCGCTGCATGGCACTTCCTTCCCTCCCTCTTTGGACAGCCCGGAAGTTGGAAGTCCTTTTTCCTTGCTGGAAAAGTGTAGTGCTTTTGCATCCTCGGAAGTGTGTGTTAGTAGTGCCCTTTAAGAAGTGTGCTTCTTGCACACACACAAAAGTAGTGATTCCTGAAAGTTGGCTGCTTGGAAAAGAGGGAAGGGAAGAGTCAGGCAGCAATTCAGATGGAGGTTTACCTGCAAATCAAGAGAGGCTGGCTCAGATTTAAAGAGGCAGTACGGATTAATATAATTGGACCCCAAAATTAAGAGGATACAGTGCCTTGGATCCCAAATGTGACGAAAACAATGAGTATCAACTTCCCTCGGACCCAAAGATTCCCCCTATTTCAGATCTAAAGAAATGAGTATCAATGTATTGTCGAAGGCTTTCATGGCCGGAATCACTGGGTGGTTGTAGGTTTTTCGGGCTGTGTGGCCATGTTGCAGAAGCATTCTCTCCTGACGTTTTGCCTGCATCTATGGCAGGTATCCTCAGAGGTTGTGAGGCCCGCCTACTGTTATCGTTATCCTGTTTATTCGAATATTTTATGACTGTTTTTTCTTTTATTATTATTAATGTTTTCTGATGTTGTTATTGTTTGTTGTTTATGCTTTGATTTTATTGCTGTAATGTGTTGTCTGGGCTTGGCTCCATGTTAGCCGCTCCAAGTCACCAATGGGGAGATGGTGGCGGGGTATAAATAAAGATTATTATTATTATTATTATTATTATTATTATTATTATTATTATTATTACACTTCATGCAGGCGAAACGTCAGGAGAGAATGCTTCTAGAACATGCCCATCTAGCCCAAAAAACCTACAACAACCCGATGAGTATCAGCTTCTCTGGGACCCAAAGATTCTCCCCATATTAGATCTAAAGAAAAGTTAATAACTTGGTTGCTGTGAGTTTTCTGGGCGGTTTGACCATGTTCCAGAAGCATTCTCTCCTGATGTTTCGCCTGCATCTATGGCGGGCATCCTCAGAGGATGTGAGGCCTGTTGGAAACTAGTCAAGTGACCCTAACCTTCACTTGTCTAGTTTCCAGCAGGTTTCACAATCTCTGAGGATGCTGGCCGTAGATGTGGGTGAAACATCAGGAGAGAATGCTTGTAGAACATGCCCATCCAGCCCAAAAAACCTACAACAACCCGATGAGTATCAACTTCTCTGGGACCTAAAGATTCTCCCCATATTAGATCTGAAGAAGTAAGAGTTAAAAACTTGGTTGCTGTGAGTTTTCTGGGCTGTCTGGCCTTGTTCCAGAAGCATTCTCTCCGGACGTTTCGGCTGCATCTATGGCAGGCATCCTCAGAGGTTGTGAGGTCCTCTGAGGATGCTGGCCATAGATGTGGATGAAACGTCAGGAGAGAATGCTTCTAGTACATGCCCATCTAGCCCGAAAAACCTACAACAACCCGATGAGTATCAACTTCTCTGGGACCCAAAGATTCTCCCCATATTAGATCTAAAGAAGTAAGAGTTAATAACTTGGTTGCTGTGAGTTTTCTGGGCTGTCTGGCCTTGTTCCAGAAGCATTCTCTCCTGATGCTTTGCCCACATCTATGAGGTATCCTGAGAGGTTGGGAGGTCTGTTGGAAACTAGACAAGTAGGGTTTATATACCTGGGGAATGATGTCCAGGGTGGGAGAAAGAACTCGTCTGCAATTGCAACATTCACACCTCCCTCCGACAGACAAGAGTTCTTTTCTCCCACCCTGGACATCATACCACAAATATATAAACCCCACTTGCCTAGTTTCCAATAGATCCCTCAACCTCTCAGGATGCCTGCCGTAGATGTAGGCAAAATGTTGGGAGAGAATGCTTCTGGAACATAGTCATACAGCCTGGAAAAATCATACCATGTTCCAGAATCATTGGGTTGTTTTGAGTTTCCCAGACTGTCTGGCCATGTTCCAGAAGCATTCTCTCCTGACGTTTCACCTGCATCCATGGCAGGCATCCTTACAGGTTGTGAGGTCTGTTGGAAACTAGTCAAGTGAGGTTTATTTATCTGTGGAATGATGTCCAGGGTGGGAGAAAGAACTCTTGTCTGTTGGAGGAAAGCGTGAATATTGAAATTATAGACAAGAGTTCTTTCTCCCACCCTGGACATCATTCCACAGATATGTAAACATCACTTGCCGAGTTTCCAACAGACCTCACAACCTCTGAGGATGCCTGTCATATATGCAGGCGAAATGTCAGGAGAGAATGCTTCTGGAACATAGCCATACAGCCCAGAAAACTCACATCATGTTCCAGAAGCATGCCTGCCATAGATGCAGGAGAAACACCAGGAGAGAATGCTTCTGGAACATGGCCAGACAGTCTGGGAAACTCAAAACAACCCAATGATTATGGTCCTGAAAGCCTTCGACAACACTTAAGAGTTAATAAGTTGTTCCCAAAATGAAAAGGGGACGATGGCAAGCCAAAATATAGGTCTTGAATCCCAAAAAAGGGGGAAAATGTCTGAATATTAGGTTTTCTAGGACCCAAAGATCAGTCTAATTCAGATTTAAAGACACAGGAAGAATTAATGTTTGTTTCCAAAAGGGACCTAAGGTTTCCCAGATGTCTTGGCCTTCAACTCCCAGAAATCCCAACAGCTTGTAACCTGGCTGGGATTTCTGGGAGTTGTAGGTCAAAACCCCTGGAGACCCAGAAGCTGAGTGAGAACCAGAGGTTGGTGGCAAGTCAAGAGAGAGGCCCAGAACCCCAAACATGGGGAAAGAGGTTTTCTAGGACCCAAATATTGGCCTATTACAGACTTAACGAAGCAATAAGAGTTCATAATTTGTTCCCAAAAGGAATGAGAAGTTGGTAGCAAGCCAAGAGGTTGGCACTGGATCCCAAATTTGGGGGGAAAGATCCAAATATTAGCTTTTCTGAGACTCAAAGGCCTGTTTTGAGGTTCCTTTTTGAGAGGCCTTTGAAAAACAGCATTTTCATATACAGCAGAGAAGGTACATCAGCCAAAGCAGCGGCAGGAGGAGCAGCGTTTTGGGGTGCACATGCTTATAAAGGGGAGGAAATGGAAGGTTACAGTTAGCGGCAATACCTGCAGAGTCCAAAATGTGCTTTTCTAGGATGTGACAGTGACACAAAGCCAGACATTGAATGGCTGCGTGCTGCGATTTTGCTTAGAAAAGGATTTCCCCGCCAAAATAATATATATATTTTTGCCAGTCTACAACTCTCGCCTATCCGTCCCCAAACCGTTTTCCTGAACCAGCGATTCCAAAAACTTGTGGTTTCTGGACTTCAGTTCCCAACAGCCTCAGATATAGAAATGCTGGGAGTTGGGACTCCAAAATAACAGGACCCATTTGGGTTTTGAGCTTCCTTTACATACAGATTAGATTGAAAAGCAAGGAGGAAATCCCACCAAGGCAAAGGGAGCCTGTGTTAAGGTCCAAATGCAGAGCGGAAGCAAGACGGTGACCGTTTGGGACTTGGAATGGCGAGACGTTTCCTTCTCTCCGTTGCCCCAAACTCAACCAAAGTGAAAGAGAGGCACGACAGACCCATAAGAAGCTTCCCCAAAACCCCAAAAGGAAAAACAAGACCCTTCCCCATTAACTACGGCATGCAGGGAAACACCGCATCCGACGGCATGCGAGGGAAAGGCGGGAAAGGCAAATTCCACCCTCGGCTTTCTCTTTCCTCCCAAAGCAAACGCCATTTCCGACTCCTTGAAGGTACTCCTTTCATAATGAGGTGAGACATCTCTATCCTATCCGGTGAACGAACAAAGCCTTCAACTATTACAGCGATAGGCCAGTAGAGAATCACTCCTGATACAGCCTGAAATGGACCCATCAGGCTTTGATTGTGTCTCAAAACAATCGTCTGAGCACCTTCCACAGTCTGGGTTTTGCTCATTTTGCACACTTTTAAGGCTGTGCATTTTGGTTGATGTATCCCAGCATGGGCAAACTTCAACCCTCTAAGTGTTTTGGACTTCAACAACCATAATTCCTAAAAGTCAGTCCAAAACACCTGGAGGGCTGAAGTTTGCCCAGGCTTGGGATACATTGATCAAAATGAATGGAACCTCCAGAATATTGTCTGTGTTGGTATCTAACTGGATATGCCATCAGGCATGGGCAAAGTACGACCTTCCAGGGTTTTGCCCATTTTGCACACTTTAAGGCCCCAAAATTTGGTCGATGTATCCCAGGCCTGGACAAACTTCATCCCTCTAGGTGTTTTGGACTGACTGTCAGGAATTGTGGTTATTGCAGTCCAAAACACTTGGAGGGTTGAAGTTTGCCGATGCCTGGGATACATCGACCAAAATTTGGGGCCTTAAAGTGTGCAAAATGGGCAAAACCCTGGAGGACCTAACTTTGCCCATGTCTGGTGATGTATCCCATTAGATATCAACACAGACAATATTCTGGTGGTTCCATTCAACCAAAGACTATGAGAAAAGAGACCATGCAGGAGTTTGTTTTGTCTGCTCAAAGCATGGAGAGGCATTCAAGCTCTTCTTTCCCGAGGACCTAAAGACTGATACCTCTCCTTTTTGACCCGATAAGCACAAGACTGGGTGCTTTTGGTATGACAGATATGGCTTCATCTACCCCAACCTGTCCTCGGAGTCAGATATGGCCTCATCAACCCCAACCTACTTTCGGAGTCAGAGATGGTCTCATCTACCCCAACCTGTCATCTGAGTAAGAGATGGTCTCATCTACCCCAACCTGTCCTCTGAGTAAGATATGGTCTCATCTACCCCAACCCATCTATGGAGTCAGATATGACCTCATCCACCCCAACCTGTCTTCGGAGTCAGATATGGCCTCATCTATCCCAACCTGTCTTCGGTCAAAGATGGCTTCATCTACCCCAACCTGTCTTCGGTCAGAGATGGCTTCATCTACCCCAACCTGCCTCTAGATTCAGAGATGGTCCCATCTACCCCAACCTGTCTTCAGAGTCAGATATGGCTTCATCTATCTCAATCTGCCTTCAGAGTCAGACATAGCCCCATTTACCCCAACCTGCCTTCGGAGTCAGAGATGGTCTCATCTACCCCAACCTGTCTTTGGAGTCAGAGATGGTCTCATCTACCCCAACCTGCTTTCAGAGTCAGAGATGGTCTCATCTAGCCAACCTGTCTTCGGAGTCAGAGATGGCCTCATCTACCTCAACCTGTCTTCAAAGTCAGATATGGCGTCACCTACCCCAACCTTCTTTTGGAGTCAGAGATGGCTTCATCTATCCCAACCTGCCTTCAGAGTCAGAGATGGCCTCATCTACTCCAACCTGTCTTCAGAGTCAGAGATGGTCTCATCTACCCCAATCTGTCCTCAGACACAGATATGGTCTCATCGACCCCACCCTGCCTTCAGAGTCAGATATGGCCTCATCTACCCCAACCTGCCTTCAGAGATGGTCTCATCTACCCCCAACCTTCCTTCAGAGTCATAGATGGCTTCATCTATCCCAACCTGCCTTCAGAGATGGCTTCATCTACCCCAACCTGTCTTTGGAGTCAGAGATGGCCTCATCTACCTCAACCTGTCTTTGGTCAGAGATGGCCTCATCTACCCCAACCTGTCCTCGGAGTCAGATATGGCTTCATCTATCCCAACCTGTCTTCGGAGTCAGATATGGCTTCATCTTCCCAACCAGTCAGATCAAACCAGCTGGGGAATCCAGAGATCCCATCATCCCCCTTCAAGCTGGGAGCAATCCACAAACTATAGCTTTGCAGTAAACAACAGGAAGTTCAGAACACCAAGCAAAGCAAAGCAAGCACAGAGAGGAGGAAGAAGAGCTGGAAGAAGAAGCCTCCGTTGCGACAGGGCCAAGCGGAAAGCTTGGGGAGGAAAAAGAGGCAGCCAAGAGAGGCAAAGGCTGGTGTTAATTTGGGCCTAGAGTCCAATGGTATCTCATAAGGGATGCTTGAAGGCTGAGAGATTTGGGTACCCAAGTCTACCCGGAGTTCTGCAGAAACGGAAATATGTGTAGTGTAGGTATGGGCTAATTTTGGCTCTCTGGGTGTTTTGGACTCCAACTCCCACCATTCCTAACAGCCTCAGGCCCCTTCCTTTCCCCCCTCAGCCGCTTAAGCGTCTGAGGGGGGAAAGGAAAGGGCCTGAGGCTGTTAGGAATGGTGGGAGTTGGAGTCCAAAACACCTGGAGGGCCAAAATTGGTCTATGGCTGGTATAAACACAAACCCACCCTGAGATTTTGCTTCTTTCGTGGCAGTTTGGGCACAACGCTTCTGCAACAGTGTTGGAGGTATCTGGACCTTTGCAAAAAGGACTCAGATTTGGGTAAAAGACCCTAAATTATTGATTGGCAGTTCAAAACAAATGGAAGTATTACTGTTTTTTGCAGGCCTCAAGCTGTCCTCCTCTCCAGCAAAGATCTTCCTGCCTTACTCTKGGAGGTCATCGTGATGTTGCTCCGCTTTCCCCCCTTTGCAATTTGGAGAGAAATAAGTAAAAATGTTCTCTGCGTTCAACCAGAGCAACCCCACATATCCCTAAAAAGTTTCTTCCAATTCCTGATTATGGAAAACGAAAGGAGAGAAGAAGGCCCTCCCCGAAGCCCGTTGCCTGGAGATGAATCGTTTTTTCGGCTCCCACCCTAATTACAAAGGACTAAACGGCAACCAAAACTGTTAGTCATTTCTTTTTGAGACCTCCGCACCCCCGTAAGTCCAATCCCCCCCCCACTTTTCCCCCCAACTCAGTAGTACAGAATGGAGATGGGCTCCAGTTATATGAGGCTCCAGTGTCGACAGCAGGCAAGAAGAAGGAGGAAGTCCGGAAAGAAAAGGGGCTCCCCAATATGAGAAGTCTCCCCGCACCGGGCCCGTCCTCTGCTTTTTGGGGGGGACCAGGCGGGGAGGAGGGTGGGAGCCCCCTCTTTCTTTCTCTCTCTCTTTGGTAGATTGTCCTCCTTCGCCCGCCTCTTTCCTCATCTCATCCGGTTCTGCCTCATCAGGGGCACGATGCAGRAAGGGGGCCCGGCTTTCCCCAGGAAGGGGTGCTTCAAGAGTTCGTTGGCGGTGGCTCTCTGGGCTGGGTCGCGGACCAGGAGCCGGTCGAGGAAGCCCTTCAAGGAAGGAGAGACCTGGAGCAGAAAAAGAAGGAAGAAACGGACCTGCAGAAAGGATCATAGAAGGGACCCCAAAAGGCCATCCAATCCTTCCCCCTTCTGTCGGTCAGAAAGACACAGTCCAAGCTCTCCCAAACAATAGCCATCCAGCCTCAGCTTAATGTCTTCTGCAGAAGACTAGAGTTGGAAGAGACCTCCAAAGGTCATCCAATCCATCCTCCTTCTGTCAGTCAGGAAGACACAGTCCAAGCCCTCCCAAACGATGGCCATCCAGCCTCAGCTTAAGGTCTTCTGCAGAAGTCTAGTTGGAAGAGACCTCAAAGGTCATCCAATCCATCCCCCTTCTGCCAGGTAGGAAAACATAGTCCATGCCCTCCTAACCGATGGTCATCCAGCCTCAGCTTAACATCTTCTGCAGAAGTCCAGAGTTGGAAGAGACCTCCAAAGGTCATCCAATCCATCCCCCTTCTGCTGGTTAGGAAGACACAGTCCAAGTCCTCCCAACCTCTGTCCATCCGGCCTCAGCTTAATGTCTTCTGCAGAAGACTAGAGTTGGAAGAGACCTCCAAAGGTCATGCAATCCATCCTCCTTCTGCTGGTTAGGAAGACACAGTCCAAGCCCTCCTGACCAATGGCCATCCAGCCTCAGCTTAACGTCTTCTGAGGAGACCTCCAAAGGTCATCCAATCCATCCCCCTTCTGACGGTCAGGAAGACACAGTTCAAGCCCTCCCAACCGATGGCCATCCAGCCTCAGCTTAACATCTTCTGAGGAGACCTCCAAAGGTCATCCAATCCATCCCCCTTCTGACGGTCAGGAAGACACAGTCCAAGCCCTCCCAATCGATGGCCATCCAGCCTCAGCTTAATGTCTTCTCAGGAGACCTCCAAAGGTCATCCAATCCATCCCCCTTCTGACGGTCAGGAAGACACAGTCCAAGCCCTCCCAAACAATGGCCATCCAGCCTCAGATTAATGTCTCCTGCAGAAGTCTAAAGTTGGAAGAGACCTCCAAAGGTCATCCAATCCATCCCCTTTCTGTTGGTTAGGAAGACACTGTTCAAGCCCTCCTGACCATCCACTGTCAGCTTAACGTCTTCTGCAGAAGTCTAGAGTTGGAAGAGACTTCCAAAGGTCATCCAATCCACCCCCCTTCTGATGGTCAGGAAGACATAGTCCAAGCCCTTCCAACCAATGGCCAACCAGCCTTGGCTTAACATCTTCTGCAGAAGTCTAGAGTTGGAAGAGGCCTCCAACGGTCATCCAATCCATCCCCTTTCTGCTGGTTAGGAAGACACCGTTCAAGCCCTCCTGATCATCCAGCCCCAGCTTAACGTCTCCTGCAGAAGCCTAGAGTTGGAAGAGACCTCCAAAGGTCATCCAATCCATCCCCCTTCTGATGGTCAGGAAGACACTGTTCAAGTCCTCCTGACCATCCAGCCTCAGCTTAACGTCTTCTGCAAAAGCCTAGAGTTGGAAGAGACCTCCAGAGGTCATCCAATTCATCCTCCTTCTGCCGGTCAAGAAGACACAGTCCAAGCCCTCCCAACCAATGGCCATCCAGTCTCAGCTTACGTCTTCTGCAGAAGTCCAGAGTTGTAAGAGACCTCCAAAGGTCATCCAATCCATCCCCCTTCTGCGGGTCAGAAAGACACAGTCCAAACCCTCCCAAACAATGGCCATCCAGCCTCAGCTTAACGTCTTCTGCAGAAGACTAGAGTTGGAAGAAACCTCCAACGGTCATCCAACCCATTCCCCTTCTGCTGGTCAGGAAGACACCGTTCAAGCCCTCCTGACTATCCAGTCTCAGGTTAACGTCTTCTGCAGAAGTCTAAAGTTGGAAGAGACCACCAAAGGTCATCAAATCCTGACCCTCTGACGGTCAGGAAGACACAGTCCAAGCCCTCCCAACGGATGGCCATCCAGCCTCAGCGTAATGTCTTCGAGACCCCCAAAGGTCATCCAATCCATCCCCCTCCTGCCAGGCAGGAAGACACAGTCCAAGCCCTCCCGAACGATGGTCATCCAGACTTAGTTTAACGTCTTCTGAAGAGACCCCCAAAGGTCATCCAATCCATCCCCCTTCTGATGGTCAGAAACACACAGTCCAAGCCCTCCTGACCAATGGCCATCCAGCCTCAGCTTAATGTCTTCTCAAGAGACCCCCAAAGGTCATCCAATCCATCCCCCTTCTGACGGTCAGAAACACACAGTCCAAGCCCTCCTGACCAATGGCCATCCAGCCTCAGCTTAATATCTTCTGCAGAAGTCTAGAGTTGGAGGAGACCTCCAAAGGTCATCCAATCCATCCCCCTTCTGCTGGTCAGGAAGACACCATTCAAGCCCTCCTGATCATCCAGCCTCAGCTTAACATCTTCTGCAGAAGTCTAGATTTGGAAGAGACCTCCACATCTTGATGCCAAAGGAAGGAGGGGGAGAAGTCAAGAAAAGCAAGGAAGGAGCCCGTTACCTTGTGCAGGTTTTTGAGCTTTGGGGGCAGGTTGTCCCGGATCATCTTCATGGCCTTCAGAGGAGGCTCGTTGAAGTAAGGCGGCTCTCCGTCCACCATTTCAATCACCATGACGCCGAGGGACCAGATGTCTACCTGAAAGCCCAACAAGATCAGGGTCAGAAGCTCTGGGGTCGAGCCTGACAAACAGCAGGAGGGCCGCCGTTTGAAGAGGCCAGTTATAAAGGTCAAGCCAACAGTGTCCAAAGTCCAGACACTGAAGATCTGGGATGGGCAAACTCTGGCCCTTCAGGAGTTTTGGACTTCAACTCCCACAATTCCTAAAATCCTTTTAATACCAATGCCTGGTATTCCTTCTTCCACTCTGGGCATCCTCTTACCTCTGGCCCATACGGCAACCGGGAGATGAGCTCGGGGGCCATCCAGTATGGGGTCCCAACCAGGGACTTGCGCCGTGGCACCTCTTTGTTCACTTGGGCACAGAAACCAAAATCGGAGAGTTTAACCTGCGAGGAAATTGAGAAGAAGGAAATGCTGGCGGTGAAACTCTCAACAAGACTCTCCATGATCACATCATTTCGTCTCCCAAGTAGGGAATTTTAAGTGCCTCTCTACACTTAAGCAACAAAATTCTGGGTTGCTGTGAGTTTTCCGGGCTGTTTGGCCATGTTCCAGAAGCATTCTGTCCTGACATTTCACCCACATTTATGGCAGGCATTTTCAGAGGTTGCGAGGTCTGTTGGAAACCAGGCAAGTGAGGTTTATATATCTGTGGAATTATGTCCAGCTTGGGAGAAAGAACTCTTGTCTGCTTGAGGCAGGTGACAACTCCCAACAAAGGATTCCCTCAGGCAGTAAGTAGCCAGGCTTTGAAGCTGCAAGGCCATTTGATGCTAATCAAGGCGGACAGTTGCAACATTCACACTTGCCTCAAGCAGACAAAAGTTTTTCTCTCTCCCTGGACATCATTCCACTTGCCTAGTTTCCAACAGACCTCTCAACCTCTGAGGATGCCTGTCAAAATGTCAGGAGAGGATGCTTCTGGAACATGGCCATACAGCCCGGAAAACTCAGAGCAACCCATTAATAAACTTTTTCCATGTGTTTATGATAGTACCAATTAGGAAATGACATTTATTGGACAACTAGCTTGGGGACCCGGCGCTGCCTGGGTTATTTGAGAAAGGCATTGTGCACCAAAGTTGGTCTTTATCCGTTATTTATGTGGCTCGCAGTGCTCTCAGGATATGAATACATAACAATATAAAATTACAATATAAATATAAAATTACAATAAACACAATCACAATGACAGTGGGCAGGCTACACGTAATGATTAAAAGAAAACTAATTAAAAACCGATTAAAAACTCGAGTGGGATATTTTATAGTCTTGGTACCAACTGTAAACCGCCTTGAGTCGCCTGCGGCTGAGAGGGACGGTACATAAATATAGCAAATCAATAATAATAAATGTATAAACCAGGAACAAAAATCATGTTACATAGTGTGATCAACCTTCTGATTCCAAACTATGAGGCCATGAGAATAAAAGTGGCATCGAAGTGATCTAGGAAGAGCCGGTAACAGCCTGTGGATCCGAGCTTGGGGAAAAAGGCAACTCACCCGTCCATCGTGGGTGAGCAGGATGGAGTCGCTCTTGATATCGCGGTGGATGACGCCCTGGGCGTGGAGGACCGAAAGCGCCTTCAGGACAGACAGACAGACGGCCGCAATCTGCTCTTCGTTCATCCTGGAAGAAGAACGCAAGACTCGTGGTGACTTCCCCTCTCCTTGTTAGGGATGTAAGAACATTGGAGTGTCACCTCCAGAAACAACAAGGGACAAGGATTCGTAAACCTCGTTACTTCCCAGCAACTCAGATTAAGAAGTAGACTATTCCAGAGCCATGGCTAATAGGCAAAACACTGAAGTATCTGCTCTATGAAGGGTGGCATCCCTTGGTTTGTCCTACCCGTCCATTTTGCTGTACGGTGTCAGAAATATTAAAAATTAACTAAGTATTTTTAATTACAAAAATGTGAGTCAAGCACTAAAAGGGTTAAATGGATGCAACGACTCAGCAAAAGCTGCAGGTCAATATAAGCAGGTGTGTCTGTAGCTTAGTAGCCCTCAGTGTGAGAGGACCTCAGTGGGAGAAAGGCCTCAGTGTGTTAGTAGGCCTCGGTATGAGAGAGCCTGTGTTAGTAGGTCTCAGTATGAGAAGGTCTCTGTGTTAGTTTGCCTCAGTAAGAGAGTGGCTTCAGTTTGAGATAAACCTCAGTGGGAGAAATGCCTCAGTGTGTTAGTAGGCCTCAGTATGAGAGAGCCTCAGTGTTAGTTGGTCTCAGTATGAGAAGGCCTTGGTGTTAGTTCACCTCAGTGTGAGAGAGGCGTCAGTCTGAGAAAAACCTCAGTGGGAGAAAGGCCTCAGTGTGAGGTAGGCTTCAGTGTTAGTAGGTCTCAGTGTTAGTTCACCTCAGTGTGAGAGAGACCCTCAGTGGGAGAAAGGCCTCAGTGTGTTAGTAGGCCGGAGTATTAGAGAGCCTCAGTGTTAGTAGGTCTCAGTATGAGAAGGTCTCGGTGTTAGTTCACCGCAGTGTGAGAGAGGCGTCAGTTTGAGATAAACCTCAGTGGGAGAAAGGCCTCAGTGTGTTAGTAGGCCTCGGTATGAGAGAGCCTGTGTTAGTAGGTCTCAGTATGAGAAGGTCTCTGTGTTAGTTTGCCTCAGTAAGAGAGTGGCTTCAGTTTGAGATAAACCTCAGTGGGAGAAATGCCTCAGTGTGTTAGTAGGCCTCAGTATGAGAGAGCCTCAGTGTTAGTTGGTCTCAGTATGAGAAGGCCTTGGTGTTAGTTCACCTCAGTGTGAGAGAGGCGTCAGTCTGAGAAAAACCTCAGTGGGAGAAAGGCCTCAGTGTGAGGTAGGCTTCAGTGTTAGTAGGTCTCAGTATGAGAAGGTCTCAGTGTTAGTTCACCTCAGTGTGAGAGAGGTGTCAGTCTGAAAGAACCCTCAGTGGGAGAAAGGCCTCAGTGTGTTAATGGGCCTCAGTATGAGAGAGCCTCAGTGTTAGTAGGTCTCAGTATGAGAAGGTCTCGGTATTAGTTCACCTCAGTGTGAGAGAGGAGTCAGTCTGAGAGAACCCCCAGTGGGAGAAAGGCCTCAGTGTTAGTAGACTTCAGTTTGAGAAGGCCTGGTGTGAGAAGCTTTGGTGTGTGAGAGAAGCCCCAAGCTGAAGGTCTTGTTTGTAAAGCTGCAGTGCGAAGGCTGCTGTGTGTAAAAAGCAACTGAGTGAAGCTCCTGAGAAAAAACTCTGTGAGAGCGAAGCTGTTTATCTGCATGAGAAAGAAGCCCAGTGTGGAAACAACGAAGGAAGTATAAAGAACTTTATTTGTGTTATGGAAACCTTGTTTTTTGTAAACAGTGCAACCATATCTGTATTTGTAAACAGTGTAACCAAAGAGATAACATTGGCCTGTATGTTTTCGTTCTTTTTATCACTGCTAATAAGTTCTTTTTATCTTTTTATCACTGCTAATAAGTTCTTTTTATCACTGCTAATAAGTTACTCTGCTGTACATTCACGAGAAGGGTCTTTTGTTAATAAGCCCACTCACCCAACATATGGAACCTAGGATTCCAGTATTATCAGAGAGAGAGAGAAAGAGAAAGTGTGTGTGAGAGAGCAGAAAACAACCATCCTTTGTTCTGCTTGGACATTGGGAGGGATCCTGGAGTAGCAGGCTCGACTTAGGGTCCTCATCTTTGCTACTTCACAAAACGCAAGCCAAGTCAGGAGGCTGAAAAATGATTCTCCTGAAACTGTGATCCACCTCCACTCCATAATTACTATCATGTGCATCTTTACTTCTGCTCCTTTGCTTTCACCTAGCCCTGAAGACAACTGTACAAATATTTCCCAACCAAAATGCCTTGGAGGAATCAACCCTTCATGTATCCTCTCCATTGGATCCCTCCTCATAGAACAAGCATGGGCAAACTTCAGCCTTCCAGATGCTTTGGACTTCAGCTCCCACAATTCCCAACAGCCTACCGGGCCATTTACCTCGTATGCGTGACGATGTCGGTCAGTGCACCGCCCTCGAGGAACTCCATCACCACCCATAGTTCGTCGCCCACCAGGTAGCTGTTGTACATCTCCACCACGTTCTCGTGCTGATAGTCCCTCATGATCACCACCTGGAAGGGAAAACAAGGACCAAAATAAAAAAGGATGGCGAGCAGAAGACTGGAGATAAGATGTTCCAAAACGATGAGAGAAATGGCATTGGAAAGGAAACTCACAGAATCAGAAGAGTTAGAAGTGATGTCCAAAGGCTATCTGATCTCCAACCCAATTCTGCCATGCAAGAAGACACAATCAAAGCCCTCCTGACAGGTGACCATCCAGACTTTGCTTAAAAACCTACCACTGGCCTGCTGGAAAGTATATTCTATTAGAGTTGGAAGAGATCCCCAAAGGCCATCCAATCCAACCCCCTTCTGCTGGGCAGGAAGACATATGCTGATCACTCCTGACAGATGGTCATCCAGCCTCTGCATAGACTTCCACAGAACCCTAGAGTTGGGAGAAACTCTTCAGCCATCCAAGAACACACAAACAAAGCCCTCCCAACAGATGGCATCCAGATTCTGCTTTAAAACCTCCAGAGGAGACTCCACAGGACTCCAAAGCAGTGTATTATGTTGTCAAAGTTCTTCCTAATGTTTAGATCAGCATTTCTCAACCTGGGGGTCCGGA